AAAATCAATGATATTTGTTTTTTATATAAAACAAGCTAAATATTACTATGTATATAAAACAAGCTAAATGTTACTATGTATGACGAAAAAAGAGGAGGTATGGATGGAGAACCGGGACGGGGGACATTTCAGAATGTCAAGCGTCAAAATCTGGCCTCTCGGCTTGGGCGGGGCCACTTCTTGGGGCCATGGGCTCTGCCGGTCTGCCCTCTGCTGGGCTCTGGACTCTGGAGCCTGGAACTCTGGGCAGAGTGGGCTGATTGCTTTTTTTCTTCGTCTTTTAAAATTTTTTGTCGGGGAGTACAATCAGTACATACTACTACTTAGGGACATACCGGCTACCTATCCCTGCGCGGCACAACAAAATGGAGTTGCCTTTTGCTATATTTGGAAAACCACAAAATTGGAAATGACAACATAAACCTGTCTTGCAATTTTCATGCTTTTTTACATAGTTATTTTTATGGCTATGCTATTGTCACTATGTTCAGGGACAAGCCTTACAGTCAGAGATAAATAGCGAACACGAACACGCAAATGTTTACAGAACCCGAGAGCTACAAGTCACAACAAAAGACGTTTTAGAACACTGAATACATAACTTTCCAATATGAGTGTCAAAATCGACGAGTCTGTTGTTGAACTACAAACTGATGCCGACGTCAACGGAAAGAAGGTACACATCAACGTCGACCTTACCTTCAAATGCGATTATCTAACATTCAGTAGAGCTTTTATTGGTGTTTTTGAAATATTGTTGCCTTGTTCTGTTCATTTTATTCATATTTCTACTTTCTTCTTTTGTAGGGTGGCGATGGCGACCTCGGGGACACCATGTCCATCGGGTCCACCGGTTCCGACACGTACGAAGAGAAACTAATACACGGAAGTGGTATGCTCGGAACAACCATGAACATGACCAACACAATTATCGGTTCTGGTATTTTATCGCTGCCTTTCAGTACCTCTCAAGTCGGATGGGTCCTTGCTGCAGTCCTTATGTTTTTCGGTGCTACATTCACTTGGTTCGGACTCCACTTGTTGTCCGCTGTAGCGGATAGTGTCGGCGGACGACAGACCTCTTTCGGTGGCTCAGCGAACGTTACATACCCCTGGTTGGTTCTTGTAGCCGATTTGTTGGTGTTCTTCACCATGTGGGCGGTTTGTGTTGTATATATGACCATTGCTGCCGGTCTACTTCCCGATGTAATCCGTCAGTTCATTGACGAGGATTCAGAATCCTCTCCCGTGTACCTGGAGTTCTGGTTCTGGCTTCTTCTCTGCTGGTTGCTGGCTGGCTCGCTATCTATGTTGAAGTCTCTATGGTTCTTGGCTTACACTTCGTTGGTCGCTGTTGGCTGCGTGTTTTGGACCACTTTCGTCGTCTTCGCTTACTCTGTAAGTTTGTCGTGCGTCCGATAATATTCGCTATGCGCTACCACTCAACAGGCTTTCGAGTTTTTAGTTTATGTGTCGTTCACGATTTAAGCTGGTAGTTTTGTTTCAACAACTCTATAGAACCGGTGTCTCGCTGTTGTACTGTGTGTGCGTGAAAGCAACATGGGCCATTGTGTAATTTGTACCTAATGGTCGTTGTACCCCTGTGATTTAAGCCATTTTGAGGCGTTGCAGAGTAGGAACGATGACAAGGTTTTAAGTGCAAGAAGGAATATTTTTAGAATATTTCCTGGAGTCAATGCGTAAACATTTTGTACGTGAATAAACTAACAACTATTCTTTTCTATGTAGGTTGGCATCTTCGATCCCTGTGATGGTATTGCCGAGCCTTGTAAAGGAAACACCGAAGCCTTCATCTGGGACTTCCAGGCCATTATGCGTGCCTTCCCCGTGTTTGTCCTTGCCTTCTGCTGTGGACCCGTTATGTTCAACATCTATAATGCCATGGCTGAACAGAGTGCTAAGCGTATGGACATCGCTGCGATGGCGACCATGATGCTCACCACCTCGCTGTACCTTATCATTTCTTTCTGTGGATACTTCACGTATGGAAACTTGGTGAACTCGAACATTCTGATGTCTTACCCCATCTCCGTCGTCGCTTCTTTGGCACGTCTTGGCACAGCTTTCGTTGTAACTGTGTCGTACCCACTTCTCATGCACGCCGCAAGAGATTCTCTTATCCACGCTATCGGTACATGTATGGGCTATGCTGGAAAGAAGGAGCAGGGTTTCGAATTTACGGATACTAACACCAAGCTCGGTAACATCGGTTTCTACTGCACGGCAACTGCCCTCAACCTGCTTGCTTTCCTCTTCGCCTACTTCAACATTGATATCAACATCCTGCTGTCCATCACCGGTGCCATCGGTAACGTGAACTTGAGTTTCACCATCCCCGGCATTCTGTACTACAAGATGTTCGAGGAGAACGGCTGGTCCATGACACGTACACTATGTGTGCCTTTCACCATCTTTGGACTGGTCACTACCGGTATCTCACTATGGGCCAATTTCGCTTAAGTTACAACCCATTGACTAATATAATTAGGATAGCACATAACGTAATAAAATCTGGGTACACCCTGGCCTGTGGTCTTGTAGTTTTCCATTTTGTATTCTTTCGTGCATAAAACCCCATGGAATTGAGACACGTTGTTGAGAAATATCCCTGAAGGACAGTATTTTTGCTGAGAGTCGTTGACACAAACTTGAAGTGGGTGAACATACTATAACGAAAGAGTTGTTGCTGGGTTCACTGCTGAGCGTCGCGAACACTAACTAGCACGATGGCTTAAATTGGAGGTGCACCGAAAGGGGGATACTGAACACAAACATAGTGCAAGGTGGAGTTCCACATAGCTGCAAAAATGAATATGGCTGAGACTGTTGTGCGTCTCACCGCATTGGTCCTCCAGCTCCACGTCCATGCGGGAGTCGTATACACAAACTAACATTGCTTCCACAATCACTGTCCTGCGATGTTATGTAGTCTCTGCTGTATATGGCCCCCTGAGTTGGAGGTCCACTTTAAGTTGTATGCTGAGTCGTACAGATCAAATAGATAACGAATATGCATAAGCCAATCGCATGACGGAGACACAATAGCGACAATTATGGACTATCGGTGGTTTATTTTGTATTTAGTATGTGCCCAGTTATTGGAGCGCTGGTAGTGGAATTTCTGTACGACTTGGAGCTGCCTGGTTTTGTATACGTTGCTGGTGCGAGCTGCGTATCCTGCGCCCAAATCCAAATTGTACCAGATATCGAGCTCAAATCATTATATGCGAGATAGTAGGAACTATCACGCTGCCAAAAGATCAACAAGGGGGAAATTGTCTATATGGGGAAACGTATGTTGCGGGCAAGTAAAAAAAATTGCATTCGCAAGATATCAACCGTAGGACTGATTACTTCAGTGTGAGTTTTTCCGTATGTAGTCTTTGCGTAGATGCGCTGGCCTTAGCCGATGCGTTATTGAAAGATAGGACTCAGTTGTCTTCTCATCCGAAGAGACTTTCGGTGGTTGTGTTGAGCAGATTGCTCTCTTCTTTGCCCATTCGTTTGTACCAGGGCTTTTTGGCGACTTTTTCGAGGGCTTCACAACGATCCATGAGCTCATCACTCATGTGCTTGCTGCGCTTGAGATCCGTTTCTAACTTCTCTTTCTCCTGTATGAATGATTATGGTACACGTATCCCCGTCTGTGAGCGGCGTTGCTAACTGGAAACCATCGCATCAAAAGTGAGGCAGAACACGCCGAAAATATTACTATAAAAATCACATAGAGAAAACTAAGGATCCTACATACTATTAACAGACTGGTCACAACGTCGCCCTTATCTTTGATGATATTTGCTCTCTCTTTCTTGACCTGAAAAGGATAGATAATGGTGCGTATATTAGTTTAGAGCGCGGATACTGGTCATATACGTCTATGAATCACAAGAGATCGTCGCGGGAGTGGCGTTTAGATGCTCCTTCCTGGCACAGTCTGTCTGCTGAAGAAAGTGCGTGCACGTAACGGGCAGCAGAGGTCCGACAGATTTACAATTACGTATGAACAGTACCCGACACACGCTATGTACATGCTCCCCAATGCCCACGGGTAGCAGAGGTCCGAAAGATTTACACTTACGTGTGAACAGAAACCCTACGAAGACACTCCCCAATGCCCCCGAAATACCGTGACAGTCGAGAAACCAACCCTAGGCACGGCTCGCACACACGTACCTGCTCCAGTTCTCGCTCCAACTTCTCCACGTGTTTCTTGGTGCTCTCAAACTTCGCCAGCATCATCTTTTCTTGATAACCCATGCGATCACGCACAGCTTTACGGGTGGTCTCCAGGACAGGTTTCTGCTGCTCCAGCTCGTGTCGGACCTGGGAACGGCGATGGACTAGGGTTGAGAAAACACACAACACGGACGCAATACGTCCGCACTTACGATACTTCATATGCATGAAGTAGGGGCTGTGAAGTATCTTACGTGTGGATGCATTGCGCGCCAGACACAGCAAGACACAGTGCTGGCGCTTATTGGCAGTGGAAAGTTCTATATAACAGTACGTGACACCGCGGATGGCACGTGCATAGCTTGTTGACTATCGAAGATTCGTGCAACGCTCGCGACTACTGGTGTGACAGCAGCCGTGGGCGAGAGGATCTTCGCGTGATGTTTGACGGCGAAAGCTTTGCTTCACCTAATCGACAGCCAAACTAGGCCACTCAAAGGCCGGTAGAGAGGTTATGCGCGAAGGGCTACAGCAAAAACATCAAATACTAATGAATGCCGCACGCATACTTTCGATAGTTCCTGCTGTGCACGCTCCATTTTCGATTGCGCGTCTTCCAGTGATACCTGCGACGTCTGCAGCTCCCGTGACAGAGTGGAATTCTCCTCTTCGAGAGCAGCGCATCGCAGCGAGGCGGCCTGGTAGACCTCAACCCTCTCATTCAGAGTAGCTGTCAGCGTTGAAACGTTATTCTGAAACGGATAGAAAGGATGTGTACTTGATAGTTTAGCTCGCGCATAGAGTTCTCCTGTGACAACCATGCACAATCTCAGTACTGGCCTATAGACACGGGGTTAGTACATAAATGACAAGGGTGTGAAAACTCGATCCCTGGGGTTTATTGAATGGAGCTGTTCCGCGTCTATTGGATCACACAACCGACCCCCAGCTCAATCATTATAGAAACACACACACATATATATATATATATATATATATATATATATATATATATATATATATATATACTAACTAACTAACTAACTAACTAACTTAACTAATTAATTAATTAATTAACTAACT